TCTCTCTCTCGCTCGCTCTCTTTATGAAATCGGAATGAAGTGAAGCGAGAAAAGGGTTATTTTTTTTTGCAGACGCATCACTTATACAACCATCCGTCGTTGTTTTGGATTTTTCAAAAACAAACAAAAAATTAATCGAAAAAAAAACAATGAAAAAAAATGTTTTTTGATTGATTTTTTTGTTTTGTTTCAATTTTTTTCCTGTTTGAAACTGATATGGTGTTTTGTTTTTCCTTTCAAAAAAAAAATAAAAATAAAATTTGAACTAAAGATTTACTGTGTCTGTGTGGGTGTTAATAGATTGAATTTTCAAAGTCAACTTTGTTATGGAAAAAAAAACAGTCTGTGTAAACACAAAATGATATTATAGATTCAATTATCTGATAGACACATACAGGGACAAAATAATGAAAAATTGAACGAAAGATTAATGTTTATAGGAGGGGAAAAAAGAACAAACGAAGAAGAAAAAAAAAATGTTGACACTTTTTTTCTTTTGATTTTGATCAGAAAAAATCGATGATCGATGATTGATTGTTTTTCTTTTCCAATATAAAGTCATCAAACGATATTGTAAAAAAATTTACCTATTATCATTACGAAGTGGTGGTGGAGAGTGAATTTTTTTTTTGCCTCATTTCAATCTTGATTTTATTGACAAAAAATACAAAAAAAAAATTGATTGATTGATCATTGATCGATAATCATTTGCAACAATATTGTAATTTTTCTCAATTGATTTCAATTGATTCCATTGATTGATTGATGTGTATTGATATCTGAAAAATCATCTGGACATCATTTTATATTGTTAAATGTTTCATTCAATTCAGTCATAGTTATATAAACAAAAGCTTAGCTTTTCTTAGCTTTTCTGAAACCAATTTTTTTGAAGAAACAAAAAAACAATCAAAAAAAACATTCTTTCAAACAATAAATTCTATCAATTTCATAGAAGAATGATTCAGAATTTCATTCTCTTTCGTTTCATCTCTCTTTCGTTTTAGGGTTTTTCTTCTTTTATATTTTCTAACCAAAAAAATAAATCTTGTTTACAAAACAAAAACCCGAAATTTGATTAGAAATTTCATGATGAAAGAAGAATCCATGATGAATGAAAATTGTTTTTCTTTTCTTTCCAAAATTTCCACTGAACAATAAACAAAATTCAAAAAAGAAGAAAACATTTCATTGTAAATATATACCAAGTGAAAGTGGATAAGAAAAGATTTCTTCTTCTTCTTCTTCTTCTTCTTCGTTCTTTCTTTCATTTTCAAATGTTCAACAAATAAATTAATGATAAACATTATCATCCTCATGTTGTTGTTGTTGTTGTTATTGTTACAAAACACAACATTTTCCAGTGAACAATTTTGAAAAGAATTTTTCTTTTTTGTTAAAAATAACAATTTTTTTATTATTCGTGATTTTGATGATGACGTTGTTTGTTTGTTTGTTTCTCCTTTTTTTTCAGAATTTCCGAATAAAATATTCTTTCTGTCTGCGTGTGCATCGTTTGCATTCGAATCTCTTTGCAGGGTTTTAATTGTCGATTACCATCAGAACATCAAACATCAACCAAAAACCAATAAAAAAAAAGAGTTACATTCACCAGGTAATTTTATTCATTTGGCCCATTTATTTGTTTGTTTGTTTGTCGATTTNTAAAAATATATGCATGAATTTCAAATTGAATATTTATTTGTCGCTGCTGTTACTGTTTGATATAAAAATAAAAAGAACTTTTCGATTCAAACGGATGCACCAAAAACAGAACAAAACAAAACATTCTAAATATAACCCCGAATATTGGAAATTTTAAACAGGTAAAAAAAACTTATTAGGAACGATTTTTCTGCATAAAATAAAAGTGTGTGTGTGTTTTGTTTTTCAGGTAAGGTCAGGTAAATATTGAACAACGGAAAAATTAATCAACAATGACAACCATAATATTTTCTTCTTGTTATTTTCTTTTCTTTCCACATCACATTTAATCCGATTTTTGGGAGAAAATATCTATGCAAATCAATTATCAACTTTTTTTTTTGTTTTTCGTTGCTGTTCAGTTAATTAATATAAGTTAATGACGATGATTTTTTTTTTGGGCGAAAGGTTTTTAGCTCTTAAAAAATTCTTCAGAATTCCATATTTATTTAATTATTCATTTTGTTTTATCTTTTCTCTCTTTCTCTCTATCTTTATCATCAACAAAATGTCAAAAGTTTTTCCCTGCAACAAACAACCAACAACAACGACGACGAACTTAATGTGTATTTTCATGAAAATGGGAAAAAATCCCATACTAGAAAATACTAGAAAATCATTTTTTGTTTTTTCTCTCTCCTTTCAATCATCATTATCGATATTAGTCATTGATTGATTTTATGATGATGACAAAATAGATTTATAATTGGATTTTTTTTTTCCTTTGCTTTGCTTTGCTTTCATTTCGGTTGGCTTCGAATTCGATTGGATCTTCGATCAATCAGAATCAGATTTTGTTCCAGTTTGTTTGTTCAATCGTTCAATCAATAAATTTTTTTTTTCAATGAACAAATATTTGAAAATTTTAAAAGTTTAAAGTTTAATTGTTTTTTTTCTTTTCTTCGTTTTCGGAAAATTCATTGCTGTTGAAATATCAAATTCTTATCAACCAGAAAAAAAAGTTTTTGGTTTCATAAAAGTTTGTCATTTTTTTCATTCTCTTGAACCAAAACTTGACAATATTTTTTTTAATGGGTTTTTTTTTCTCCCCAGTTCTGTCGATTGAATAAATTGAAAACGAAAAACAAGAGGAAATTCCTTGAAATCAGAAAAACAACAAAATTCTCAAGAATGTTCTTTGATGATACAATGTTAATGATTCGTTGTTGTATTGTATAGATTTGATTCACCAGTGAACAAAAAGAAAAGAAAAGAAATTATTTTGTCATTATTGGATTGGTTTTAAAAAATCATTATTATTGTTGTTGTTGTTGTTTGATCAACCAACAACTATCAAAAAAGCAACAACAACAATCAAAGGCAACAACAACAACAACAAAAATGTCTGGATTCAGGAATAATTTCCGAAAAAAAGTTTCCAGGCATTTATTATTATTGTTTCTCAATTAAAATTTCAAATTGAAAAAATTGACAAAATACTGTTGTATTAAGACTGTACAAATACAACCAAATAATCAAGAATCGATTCTTATAAGAATTATAACAAGAAAAAAAAACAAAAAATGAAACATATGATGATTTATGAACATGATCATTACTTGTCTTGCTGTCCATTTTGGTATTCCAAGCTAGACATTTTTTTCCTTCCCCTGTTGTTGTTGTTGTTGTTGTTTGTTTGTTTGTTGTCCAAAGATTAATGATTTTTTACATTAACAACATTTCATTACAATTTTTTTTGTTACATGAAAGTTTTTCGTTTCGCTTTGTGCTGCTGTTTTCCAAAAAAAAAAATGTAATTTCATGTTGTTCATTTGCATTCAACTTTTTCCATAAAGATGATATCCTTTTGCAACTAAAATTATAAAAATTTTAGCTGAAAAAAATGAGAATTTTACAGAATTTTTTCATGATTAATGGAAACACACAGAGAAAAAGTGAATAAAATTTTTTTTTTGACATCCATGTAACTTTATTTACTGATTTAGTTTGGCTTTTTATTTAAAAAAAGCGAAAGTAACGTGTTAAAAATAAAGTTACAGTCTCTTATTGAATCGATAGTTTTCCCAGACATAAAGTGATTGGAAACATTCAAATGTCAATGCTTATTTGATTTGAAATGAAATTCTTTCCCTTTTCCCTTCACAAAATAACATTGTTATTTCTTTCCATTGGATTTTTTTCCTTTTTTTGAACATTCTCATTGAACATAGCAACCGTCTATGGATAAATATAGATTTGTTTTTTTGAAGAGAAAAGAAAAAAAAACTGTCTATTGATTTACTTATGGAATCTGTGAAATGTACTTGTCACCAACAACAACACAATAGATTCATGTTACAAATTACCCAAACACACATTGATTGTTTGTGTCTTTTTGTGATCATCATAATTAATTTCAAATTAAAATTTTTATTCAATTGATTGATTGATTGATTGATTGATCGAAGAATATATTCAATGATTATCAAAATATAGACAAAGTTTTTACTTGTATTTTATTTGAATTTTTAATCATCAACGACATCTAGCGTCGGAATTTTTTAATTATTTTTTTGAATAAAAATTTTCAAAAAATTTTTCAATTTTTCTGCATGCATTAATTTTCGATTCATCTGACCGAATACGTTCAGCAGCTTTTCGACATCGTTCATGAATTTCATTATCATTTAGAATTTTATCAATCAACTGAATTAGTTTATCATCTTCAAAACGATATGTTTCAATACGATCACCAAAACCTTTTTCACGAATACGTTGTGCATTATCATATTGATCAGCAAATAATGGCATAACAAGCATTGGTTTTCCATAAGAAACTGTTTCGGTTACTGTATTATTACCACCATGTGTTATGACCATATCGACCAATGGTAGTATACGAATTTGTGGTAAATATGCTTCACCCCACATATTATCTGCTAAATCATATTCTTCATGTAATGCACCTTTTGATACAATGTATTTATACGGTGATTTGGATAATGCCTGTACAATTCGTTTCATTAGATCAACATCAATAGATCCCATTGAACCTAATGATACATAGATCAATTTATCATTGGGTTTCAATTTTGATTTAAATTCATCCGGTAATTCATATGGTTCGTTTGTTTCTTGACGACAAAATGCATCTAATTGAATAAAATTTTCAGGCAATTCAATAATATCGGTATAATCCAATTCTTTTGGATAACCATAAAAATTTAGATATGGTGAAAATGGAAAAAAATTATTATCATTCAATTCTGGATAGCCAAAATGTTTGTTTAGTTTATTCTGAATAGTGCGAATATCTTTTTTAAATGATTCATTAAATTTCTGACGAAATTCATCCCAACCAGTTCGATCATTTGATGGATAACCTAATAAGATTTTAAAAAAAAAGTAATTATTGAAATTTTTGTTTGAAAAAATAGCTTACCTGAACATGGTGGTGGTATATCTGGATGATTCGAAAACATAAATGTTGGATTACCACTCCAGGAAAATGCCCATGGAATTTTTTCATACAAAATAAATGGATCAACAATAAAATGATCGACAATAATCAAATCAGGTCGTTCACGTTCAACAGCATCAACAATTTGTTGATGATGTTCAACTGATTCATTAAACATATGATTACCAATAGAATCTTCTTCATTCGAACTAAAACAATCTAATTTTTCAATCGGTTTTCGATCAGATAATAGACCAGTTTCTTGTAATTTTTTTACTCTCATTTTCATTGCTAATAACGGGTGTATTTGTCTATCTTGTTCGGCATTCTCGTTTGATTCATCAGCTTGTTGTTTCATTGTCATTACAATTTCTTCAAAACCATATTGTTTGAATGTACCGGCAAATGTTGTTGAACAAATAAAATATATTCGATGTCCACCATATTTGATTAATGCTTGGCCAAGTCCAACACAGGCATTTATATGACCAACACCATCACTAGTATAGATGAAAATTTTCAAGGATTTTTTCTCATCAGACATTTTGTTGTTTGTACCTCTTTAATCCATTTCCAAATGATTTTTATATATAAAAATTTTTGGCAAAACAATGTCATTTTCAATGTCAATTCAGTTTAATCCAATCAAAATCAATCAAATCAAAATCAATCAATCAATCAAAAATCTCTTTACATAGAGATAATTTTTTGGGTATAATTTAATCTAATCATTAATTATTTGGCGGCATCTTTATGCATCGGTTTCTTTTGTGACATTGTATTTGCTTTATCGTGGGAATTAATTTATCTGAAAAATTTTCAAATCATTTGCCAAACGCCATCTATCGATGACTAAAGTGATATAAAAACTCATTGTTTACAAAGAAAAAAAATTTAACCGCCAAAAAACAAAAATTTTTATTTTTCAAATTGGAAGTTTCAAATACAAAAAAAAATTCTTTTACAATGTGAATTTGAGTCAATGATTATGGTTCTGAAAAGGACAGTTTTTTTTACATTATGAATATGAAATGAAAGCGAATTGAATGATGTAAGAGATTCAACAGGTAATAAAAGTCGTACAGCCGTTTGAACTTCTCTCGGTGGTACGTTTATTGTAATGTGATAAACGTGATGATTCGGCAGCAATACGTTCGAAAATATCATTCACGAATGAATTCATGATTGACATTGCTTTTGATGAAATACCCGTACATCCACCGCCGGATGGTCTTGGTCTTGGTCTCGATTGTCATCAACATAAAGATCAGAATGAACTGATTTCACATGTAGATACATGGACGAATAACTTTTAAAAATTTGTTCACAACATCTTACCCTGTTAATTTCTCCGCTTTTCATTGCCAATAAAGATTGAATCACTGGTTGATGTTTGTCGAATTTTCGCCTATGTTTCAACTAGAAAAAGACATTAG